AATTTTAACATTATAAAATAAAGTCGAATATTTGACAGTAATGGCCCAAGCCAAGTCACATCATCCACCCATTGATAGTTCTTTATTCAGCTGGAGTTTATCTGTTTGATAAATTTTTTGGTACGTCCTTACGGGTTTTTATGGGAAACCTTGTGTTTTTTCTAATTGTACAGTTTATCAATCGTGTCAATATCAGTTTCATCATCATCGCCCGCCACCTTTTTTAGATTCAAATTTTTTTTTGCCGTTTTCAATTTTTAAATCTTTGTATTAATAAAATTTGTAGATTTTTTAATCCATGTGATTGCTTTTTCAAAAATCAATCAATGCTCAGTAAGAATCAATTGGTTTACTTGAATGAACCCATTGCATCCAAAGAGGTTTTTAAAAAGCTATGTGTAACTTTGAAGAATTGGCAATTCAGATCCTGACGATCAAATCCTCCTCATCTGTTATTTTGATCATAGCTAACATTATAATTTTGATAAATTGCTTTTTTGTTTTTGATGTTACGGTTATGTTTTGTGAAGAAAAAGTCATTTTTGTGTATATGTATGTTGTATGTGAAATTGAAATTTATAATTAAAATTTTGGGTGGGTGATTGGATATGAAATTCTGATTGGTTAATTTGAATTTCACGTGAATTGCAAATTCACATAGATTTAATTTTTACGCATAACATATAACATATATATGTATTAATATACACGCTGTATCCAAATAACGTGAGTGGTGATCATGTTGGTTCATATTTTTGTCGGATTTGCCATAATCCGTGTTGTGTTATTGATTCGTTTTGTCTAAAGAATTCATCCGCGATTACATTTTTGTATTGGTTCAATGTTATAGGAAGTGTGATTGATGCCTATTCTGTTCTAGCATGTTTACAGCAATAGTCGACCCCCTAATGATAAATGGATCGTTTTCCGTTTTCTTTTTTGTCCATTTTTACTATTAATATATATATATGGGCAATTAAATATTATATACAAAAACAAACTATCCTATCTTTATATTGAAAGACATTATATAATCTGTTTGTTAAAAATAATAAATTTTAATCATCTTGGAACATTTTCATAAATAAAATGGTAATAAACAGGTAAGTCAGACGTTTGTTTATATTGTCTGCGTATTGATTGTTTAGAATAGAAATATCATAATGGAGGATATATAAATATAAAATTTAATAATAAAATGGTTTTCTATTTAAGTACATTAATATTATATTATAAATAATATTTTTTTATTAAGAAAAAAAAGTGAGATTATCAAAAATCAATCAATAACAGAAAAACAAAAAATTAAACTTTGATAATAATGACGTGACGTGATATTTATTATAACCGAGTTTTTTATAACCATACCACCAATTTGACATGTGATTGTCAGTTTTTCTATATTTAATTTTTTTAAATTTTACTTTATTGTATCACACGGGCGAGTATAAATAACGTAACATAATTAATAATTAATACAACATTTAATATATTATTATTATATAATAAAATTTAGATTTGTTTATTTGCATACACAAAGGATGAAGCGTGGATTTATTCTATTGTAATTAGTGATTGGCTAAATGAGATCTACTCATACTAACAGTATAAGTATAAATTCCTAAATTCAATCACACAATACTCATTCATGTACATACTGTGTGCATTGATTTGTTAATCTATCTCCAAGTGTTAATTCATTTATTACTCGTACTTTTTAAAGTGAATTATTCAAAATACTTTATTTTAAACAATAAAAATCAATATACATACATAATTAACAAAAATTATTTTCATTTTCTTGTGACTCTAAAAGACCCTTGTTTCAGCTTCATAACCGTTAAACAAAAAAGTTTTTTGTTTGCTTGTTTTTAAATTACAAGAGAATCATAGAAAAATGTGCTTCCAAATGAGAATTGGTTAGCTAACCGCTTTCTTTCGAATAGAGTTCATCTTCTTAACCTTCTTTTTGTCGATTTTCTAAAATATATATAAAAGCTATTTACTTACCAACGTTGATGTTTGTTTGATCAAATGTTTTTAAATTTTTGATCGTCGTCTAGAAAGATTATTTCTGGGCCTAATCTAATTTGACTTCTATTCAAAATGTACGTGACCGTAACCATGGGAAATAAAGAGCACAAAACTATCTATCTACACTAATAGTTTATTGTCGTCTTTTTCCTCTAGTAGCCATTATTTTTATTTGGACATGTCAAGATGGGAGTTTTTTTCGTCGCTCATTATTATATTCAAAAACATTATTTTATGGTAATGGATGGCATTGAATTGCTATTTATATCTAGTTTTTTTTATAACTGGTGTAAAGTATATCGTGCATAGGTATCGAATTAATAATTCACGAAGCCAATACTTCAATAGTTCTTTAATTATGGTTTCTGGGGAATGTCATATGTCCTAAATCGAAATGAACAACTTACGACTCAGCAGTGCGAATTATATATATGTAGTTGATGATTCTGAATTTTCTAATGCGAGCATACATACTGACAAGCAAATAGGATCTTTTTCATATTTGAATAGATGAAAACTTTGAATTATTGGACATTGAACTGGAAGCTTATCATATTAATATCATCTAGAACCCTAACGATTGTGTGTATTTCAACCGCATTGATAAAAATATGTATACATGTACACAACTGTTTATATAATGAATGTTCGGAGATCAGTGAGTGACGACGACCTACGACTTCCAAGCTATTTAATGCAAAGCTTCGTTTTGAATTACCTTCGACTAAGGATACCGGCTGCAACTTTTGATGATGGTTGCTACCATCTTTGCGTCATATAAAAATGATTGCAACCACCTTTACAACCATTTTGTTTCCTTTTTTGGATTGCGACATGGAACACTACCTTCGACCAAGACCAGAGTAGTGGAATTGGATTCTATATTCGTTGAAGACAATTTGAAACCTTTAGGATTTTATATTATGATTCCAAAACCTTGCATTGGAGAATTTCATACATCAATGTTACTATTAATAATATATTCTGAATTTTGCAAAAAAATATTTAATTACATCTAACGGACTCGTTTTCTTGTAGCTCTCCATTTTTGTTTGTGCATGTATCATTAGTCATGATTGCATTGTAAATTTATATATATATATATATATAACTGTTATATTATCACAGATTATTTAATCGAACCTTGATGTTACTGCAAATAATTGTTTCTCGTGAAGGACTAATCGATGTAATGGATTTGAATTATATAATGAACGAATGTAATATTGTTTCCCACGCTAACTATAAATATGTTTACACTTTGTTCATTTTTGTCATCAAAATAATCGTTATATAAAATATTTTAGATATCAGTAATTCAGCCTATTTTTCCTTTCAGGGAATAATGATCTATATGTAATATTCTACGCTACATTAACTATTTGCTTATTTCACGTCAATCTTCTTTACAATATACATAGAATATTTACTACTAGTTTTTCTAATGAATGTATAGTGTCATATTTGTCAGATACTCTAAAATTGTCTCTTGATGAATGAATAAAGTCCAAAATAAAAGTTTACCATACAGAGTGTAATTATGTGAAAAAGAACCATTTTTTCTCGTCGTTGGGAAAATGAAAGACATGATTGATCCTTAGGTCGTAGAGCTATTAAAATAATGCTACTGCTATCGACCGTCCCTTTCATTCTTTTAGATAGACCCTGGTTCACTTATTGTTGTTTTTGCCACCGCTAATCACAATTTAATTAAGGCCAAAAAATAAACACAAAACTCTCCAAATGTAATCCTTTTTTTAGACAATGTTGTAAAAGGCTTTAGCAGTTTCTAGATGAGAAAAGTTGCCATTACTGGTGAGAACGTCTATACGAACCTACACATCATTTGAAGTGACCTTTAATGAGAAACAAAATGCTTGAATAATAACTTAAGGAACCATGTCATTATGTGACCCAGACAGAGATGGTTTTCCGGCCTCGTCTAGCTAATGAAAAACTAGTCCTTGAACGTGAGTGGAAAGAAAAAATTGCCATGTTTTTGGACTAACAAAAAAAAAAAGATTTCGATAATCAGTCAGTTAATAAAATTTGAGGACCTCATTTGATAGTAGTACAACCAAGATTTTGATCCCTGGAATTATATAAATATTTTGTGCATTTGTATTTATATTAATATTGATTATTTATTATATATTATTTATATACTTTGCTTTTTATTAATATGATAAGTTGCATACGCGTGCTCACTTTAAATTCATTGCCTAAAAAAGAAAAACAAATAATTATATTTTTTTATATTTATTTATTATTATTATTTGTTTTCTCCAATTCATTATCATTTTTACGATAAATATTTATGTATTTATTCTTTGTAAGCAAAAATTTTTTTTCTGAGTTATAAACTAACTAATAGTAAGTATCGATTTCGCCGATAGTAAAAATGAATGATTGGTACAAGTGAATAAATTCTCTATATAAAAAAACTATTCTCTAAATTAAGTTATTAATTAATTAATTAATTAAATTAATTAAATTAAATTAATAAACATTCACACGGACCAAATGTAATCATTATATACGGTAAACCAATACCATACTAGTATCGCAAACTTAAAAATATCTGTGTCCAAAGCAAGGAAAATGAGGGGAAATGAAGGGAAAGTCGCGCATAAGCAAATCACGATTCGAGAGTCGGAGATCGAAATTATAATATCGTTTTTTAATCTCAACGATAGAATAAATAAATCAACAAACAAACAAATCAGCCGTCGATTACTTAAGTAAATCGATGCTTAATTATAATTATAATTCGTTCTTTGACGTTTTTCCTCTTTAACGGAGAATCCGAACAAATCAAAAATCTTATTTTTTTCTTTTTTATTTATTATACAAAAAAAGTTTTATACAAAAAATTTAAAATAAAATTTAAAAAAGTAAAAATTATTTATTATTTTATTATTTATCTTTGTCGATCTTTTATCATTATCTTGTCTCATCGACGATAATTAATAGCCTGCTTGTAATTCTGTTTGCTTTTGTGTCCATGCTGTTGTGGTCGCCGGCGCATATTTACGGATGTACGGATATGATGATGATGACGACATTTTTATCGAATCTACAAAGTTTTAAAAAAAAAATGAATTTAAAATTTTTTACCCCGAGATTTTTCAAAATAATGATATAATAATGTAAAAAAGAACTTTTTTTACCTTTAAATGATAATTGAGAAATTTTATTTTCATACCAATTTTTAACAGACTTTGCAATCAAATAATCAGTTTCACTAACAAATTTAATATGATCAACGTATTTATTATCTTCTATCATTAATCTTGCTTTTTTATTCCTACTCTTATTATTCTTTGTGTTGTTATTATATCCTTGTCTGTTATCTTCTTCTTCTTCCTCTTCTTCTTCTTCTTCATATATTTCTTCTTCTTCTTCTTCCTCCTCATCATCATCGTAATAATTATAATTGTCAAATGTTGCACCAATTACCGTCAACAATTTATTTCCATGTTTTTTAATTGCATAAGCTTTATAATCTTCAACTAATCCATTATAATATTCTGTCAAATCTTCTTCTTCTTCGTTATTATCCTCACCCTCATCCATATTCATTTCCACTTCGTCATCTTCTCCTTCACTTACCATCGTCTTTCTCTTTCTCGCGTTCTTATTCATCATGCTCTTTCTTATCTTTCTACTACGACTACTATTGCTACTACCAACTTGTGGTTTCACTAATATTATAATAAACACGCCACATTCTGACGCTAATAAAAATACACCTTTCTCATTATACAATCCCAACAAATCATCATCCATCAAGTTCCAATGGAAGTCGTATAAATATTTGAATCCAACCAGACAATTCTCTATAACATTTAAAAAAATCCCACCATTTCCATCAAAACCGCCACCATAATAGTTACTACTAGCACTGGCAATGGTCGTTGAAATAATCATCCAAGAATTTCTTTGCCACCTATCCACTTTACATAGATAATCTATAAACGGTGAATACCATGTCTTTGATATTTTTAGTAGAATATGGTCAATTATATAGGCTTGATCATTTAAATTCCATTCAAAAACAATATTGCTAGTTGTCCATCCAAAATTACCTGTAATACATGGCAGTAGATGTTTGCTATTATTATTATTATTATTACTACTATTACTACTACTACCACCAGCATTATTATTATTACTATTATTATTACTACTACTACTACTATTATTATTATTACTATTAGCTGGTTCTCTTGATTTTTTGTATCTGTTATTATTCAAAGCTGAACCAACAAGAATTGAATTTGACGCTAAAGACATTGATGATCCTTGTTTACTAATAATATCTTCAATCTGTGCTTGATATGATATGACAATGGAGCTAACACTATTATTATTTTTATTATTATTATTATTATTATGATTATTATTATTACTATCGCTATTACTATTATTATTATTATTATTACTACTACTATTATTATTACTAGTATTACTATTATTTACAATTTCGTCATGATTACTATTTTCAATTGTCGCAGATTTACTACGTTGACTCTATTCCAAGATTATTTATTGTTTTAAAAAAAAACAAATAATTAGTGTTAACATTAATTAATTCTAATAAAGGACAACACTAACAATAAACAATAATAAAGTTATTTCTACCTTGTAATTGTCAAGAAGATTCTTCCATTTAGTAAAAGCTTGAATATTGTTAACATTATGATTCAAGTTGCAAAGATAATCTGAAGCTCTATTCCACAAGTCCGCGTCCGGCTTAGATCCACCCCGTGTACTTTTCAACTGACTTAGCTCATCTTTGTTTTCACGTAAAAAATCTAATAAGGCGAGTGTAGCACCTTCACCCCATTTTATGCGTTGTTTTCTACTATTAGCGTCACTACTAGTCATTATTTGTTTTATTATTTATAAAAGTGAATGAATAAAAATAATTCCAATATCCTAAATAAAAATGTATACATTGTTTACATAATGAACAGAAGGGTCCCCAGATTAATATACATACATGTGAAATAAGTAATCACATTATTTACACACCTTCTGAAATTACTGTTGCTATTACTATTTATTACCTACAATTTACTATTATTACTACGTCCAAAAAGTCAATTTCATTTTAATTGGAAAAGTTAAAATTAATGTTTGCGGAAAGGCCAACGTATCGGAATTTATGGCTATTACTTACATTATTATCAAATGATGCATGCAGACGTTACAATTAATTAATTGATTTGATTAATTATTACTTCACTTCATAGTCCAGTGTCGATGAATGATTCGTTTCCGTGCATTGTACTAACTTTAAATGGAAAGCATGTGCCTGAATTTGCAACAGCGATTCAATAAACGCATTTTTCTGCTACATCGTTTAATCGATCGTTCCGAATAAAAATATATTTATTGCTTTATCAAGAAATCAATAATAATTTACCTTCATAACTACTTAATAAATTTATTCCACGCGCAGAACTTGGAGTATTTCGTGTTAATTAAATAATAAACCTTGCTTTGGTAATGAGAATTACTTTTGAGATTTAAATGTTCTCACAACATCTCAAATAAGAGATATCGTGTTTTAATCGCAGCACTATTAATAAATAAGCCAATATATAGCGATAATAGTTTGGGTAAACTTGGTGGTCATTGCTTTAAAGTAATGGTACGGTAGGATATTTTTTATTGAAAAAAGTTCTATTTTTTTTTTATTTTTATGAATTTATGGATTTGTAAGTTAAAATACAATTTGAGAAAATATAAATATATCCAGATGCATATCTAGATAATATAAATACTTATTACTCATTATTAAATAAACGTAAGCCTTATAAAATAAGTTAGTAAATAAGTTGATGAAGGCTGAACTTTTAATGATTGCTTTGTCAGGAAGTTGAATTAATAATTAACGCGACTCTATAATCATGCATAAATAATATATTAGCAATGGTCATTATTTTTTTTTAATGATTTTTATATGAAATTAATTAAATGAGAAATTTTCCAACCTGAATGTCTGAAATGTAATCTTTTAATTTTTCACTGCCTCTTTCAACAACTGTTTTTATCGTCTCGTAATCAGTTGATGCCTGACCAATGAACCTTCTTGCAAAATCACGAGCATTGACTTCTATTCCATTTAAATCTAAACTTTCGCTTGACCTTTCTTCATCATCCTCTCGTCCAAAATATTGGCTTGAAGAAATTGACGTCGCTCCCTCAAACAACTTCAGACGATCAGACGAAGCAGATAATGATTCTGGATCATAGTGATTCCGTCCAAAATATTGATCTGAGGAAATTGATTTTTGATTTCCAAATTTTTGTCGTGCATAATCACCATCGGTTGATTTATTGTAATCTACAAGTTGAAAAATAAATCAAATAAATATGCATATTGTGTGTATATATATATGTGTGTGTGTATATGTAAATAAACAATAAATAAAATGCTCAATACGACACTAAATATACTAATAATTACAATTACCAACCATCTTGACTTTGTTCATTGTAATTATTAGAACTTGAGGAGCCAAAACCAACATATCGAGGCGTGACGGATTCTTCGACATTTTTTTTATTTTGAGTTGAAACAGTTCCAAACCCTAACTTTGTTAACCCCATTCCGAGTCTTTCCATATCATCACTTGGTCTACTAGAATTTTGTGATGTCGGTGATTGAGCTTCATCGTTATACATTAGCCGAGAACTATAAGACCATTTATCTTCTGATTTAGTTGAATTTATCTCCTCTTCATAATTTGAAGATTGGGCCAACTGAGCTGCCAGTTCCTCTTCTTCTTTAGCCTTTCGTGCTGCCTGTTCAATGTCAATCTTTTCCACCTTCACTGCTCCTAAACCCATTTTTGATTTCTTGGGTCCTTTTCCTCTGGAAGTGATACTGGATTTTTGTGGGCTGGACGTTGTTGTTTTTATTACAACGCTACTGCTACTACTACTGCTGCTTCCATTGGAACTTGTGGATACTTTGACGGCAGGTACAACGGTTGACTTGACGCTAGTAATTATCTTTTCTTCTTTAACAGCTTTTTCTTTTTCAGGAATTAAAAATAAATCTTCATTTTTTTTTGAAGTTGATGATTGTAGTTCCTCCTGATTATTATCAATGGTAAATTCAGAATTTCTTTTTTTTTTTTTTTTTATCGGGCGAATTTAAAGTTAGATATGTATATATATATATATTTATTAAGCAATCTGGTATTTTTTTTTGGGAAGAAATTATTGAATAAAAAACAAAAAATGATAATTACTTTCGTTCATCTTCTTTAGCTCTTTTGATTAATTCATCTTTATATTTTAATGCTACTTTGGAGGTATACTTGAGATTTATATCTTTATTCTTGAACGAAGCTCCACTACCATGTTTAGCAAAATATTCTGATGCAGCTGTATTACCACCTATCTTCATAATTCTTAATTGATCCCATGTCCAAGAATCTAAAGATATTGATCTATGTCAAATAAATTTAAATTAACAAATAAATATTGATGTTGATATAATTGTTCAACAAGTTAAAATAACATATATGATTTTTCCTTTAATACCTTACAAAACTAATGTGAACACCAAGATTTCTGTGTACCGAAGAACAATTTAAACAAAGATAAATACCAAATGTAACACTTGACCAGGATGGACTATTGGCCTGGCAATCAAAGCACATCTAATGGAATGCAACACATATATATTCATTTATTTATTTTATAAATTATATAATTCCAATTTTATAAAATTAAATCGTTTTTTGTTCTTTACCTTATTTGCTCTTTGAGCTGTTAGTTTTTTAAATATCTCATCGATTTGGGCCTTTGTTGGTTCTGACATCTTGGTTATATCAAGTTTAGAAATGAAATCTACAACTAAAAATATAATTCGTGAATCTTATTAAACGACTAAATTAGGAAATGTCAATGCCCATGTGACAAGCTCGGCGGTATAGGGAAGATCTTTTACTGGCCGGGCGGGATCTTTAAAAAAACATATAATCACCTCTTAAATATTAATTTTCTATATAAAAAAAATTTTAATATGAACTCGACAAGAAATCTCAGCGTAATTTTTGGCAAGCAATTTTTTATTAAATATTGAAATATATTAATATTAATCATTGGTTAGCCAATCTTTTACGTCAACAGTTGTTAAATACGTAATTTTTGTTTCTACTCAAAGTTGGAAATATACCGTATGATCTTACAGAGGAACAGATAACCGAAGTATTCAAAGAAGTAGGGCCCATAGTATCTTTTCGGTAGGCCAAATAATAATTTTTTTTACGCGTTAAAATTATAATTTTGCTTGTTTTGGTATTTTAATCGATAATAAACCGATTGTTTAAAAAAATTTAAAAAAGTCTTGTTTTTGACAAAGAGAATGGAAGACCGCGTGGATATGGATTTTGTGAATATTACGGTAGGTGGACATTCAGATCTAATAAGTAACTCCTTTTCAAAAAAAGATTTCCGACTAATTCAACGTCAACATCATAAAAATGAAAAAGACCCAGAGACAGCAGAAAGTGCAGTAAGAAATTTAAACAACGTTGAAATTGGAGGGCGTCAACTGAAAGTCGATTATGCTGATAATGATCTGCCAACTACATCCTCCAATTCAGCAAACAATTCCTCACGTCAAAATGATAGGTCAAATTCAGAAAGACATCAACAACTGCAACAACAACAACATCAACATCAACAACTACAACAACATTACCAACAACATCAACACCGTCACCAACAACAACCACCGATATCCCGGCCTAATGCCAACATTCATCAAACACGTGCATCTCAGCAATCTAGTCTTGAAAGCATTTCACTAGCAATAAAACATTCAATGAATAAAGCTCAACTCCTCGAGATATTATCTACCATGAAGGTTCAAACCATTCCTTTTTCCATTGAGAAGCTTTTTCAATATAAATTCACTTAATCAATTGTTTTTTCACAAACATCGTTCATTAGTTGTATATACAAACTGATGCAAATCAAGCTCGTTCATTATTGTCACAAAATCCTCAACTTTGCTATGCATTATTTTTGATAATGTTAGATCAGAATATTGTCGATCAAAATATATTGGCAGTATGTTGTTAATAATAATAATAATAGATGGAGTTTATCGAAATAATTACTAATCATTATGTTAATTTTAGAGTATAATACATCAAAGCGCTTCACAAGGTCAACCTATGCCTCAATCAGTCCTATCCAATTATGGTCCTCAGTCTATTCCCAAGATTCCATCACCATCAATTCCTCATCAACATCAATCGATCTCGTTCGCCCCAATTCCTCAACAATCACATATGCAACAGCCTTCATCTATTCGGCAATCTTCGCCTATTCAACAACCACGAATGCATCTGCCCCCAATGCAACAAGCTATCAGTATGCCGGCAATAAATGCTGGAATGGTTAATCATTCACAGGCTGTTGCTAATTTAACAGCAGGAAATATGAGTAAGCTATTTATATATCTTCAGTGCGATTGATGAATGACAAAGATATTTGTAGTGCTTAATCACTTACCTTCTTTTTCAATAAAGATCATTTGCAAATGCAGGAAGCTCAAAAATCTGTTAGTATAAAATATAAACCAGTTATTATTTATTTATTATATATATTTATCTGTTATAAATGTGCGTATAAATATATACGGTATTATTTATAAATTTACATGTACATTATTTAATCCAATAGTTATTATTACAAGTCCTAAATCTACCTCAAGCACAAATTGATATGTTACCACCAGACCAACGTAATCATCTATTGGCTTTGGTGAGTTTGATATACTTTTCTAGATTTTAATTAATTCATTTTCTTCCCGCGTTAAAAAAATTTTTTTTAAAAAATAATTGATAAATAGAAACAACAACTTTTAATCCAGACTAGACCAACGTAAGTTAAATCAGAAAGCATATAAATATTTTATTTAAAACGACATTTAATTAATCATTACCATTATTATTGCCATTATTAAATTATACTGTAAAGATTTCTTGTGAACTCTTAATATTAATATTAAAAGATTGTCAGATGTGTGCAGATCATTTTATGTAAACCAAAATAAAAAAATTTTTTCTTACACGATATTGATATTATAAATTTTACAAATGACTAAGCGTTCAAAAAAAATCCATGAAAGACATGAGGAAAATGATAATAATAATAAAAAGAGACAAAAAATTAAAGATGATGATTCTGATGAGACAGATAATGATGATGAATTCAATGAATCGAATATAATCGATAGTAAAAACGAAGTTCCTGAAATTAAATACAATGGTTAGACTGAAATGTCAAAATTTAAATTTGTTTGAATAGGGTTTATAACTTATTTATCTTGTTGCTGTTATGTTATTATTTATAAGATATAGAAAGTGTAAAAGATCAAGAAATCGCTCATGATTTTGAATCGTTGGACATTTCTGAGCCAACAAAAAAAGCAATTCAAGAAATGGGTTTTACAAAAATGA